CCTCCTGTTCAAAAGGGCCAGCAGACTACAGAGTCTGCTGTACCTCGGATCACTGCAAGTGCAGTCAGGTCCGAAACTGCCATGAACGTGCCTGCCAAGCAGGCACCATCCACCACCTCAGAAGAGGTGATGGACACAAGCCATACTCCTCCGGTGCCCCACACGCCGAAGGAAAGGCGCAGCTCTTTGGAGCGAAGCAAGAAAGAGAAAACCCGTATTACAGGGCCCCAACAGGCCCTGTAACTTAAGGCAACGTTTCTGTCCACACAGCACTTAACTACATTAAAAATGGAGACACAAATTTTACAGTGGAACGTCAGAGGACTACTGAGAAACCTTGACGACATTCAAGAACTTTTACATTAACAGTCACCAAAAGTGCTGTGTGCACAAGAAACACACCTAAAACCCAAGATCACTAATTTTCTACGCTAGTATATCATTTTTCGAAAGGACAGGAATGAAGTCATCACGTCATCTGGTGGTGTGGCCATTATAGTAAATCAAGGGATTGCATGTACTCATCTACCACTCGAAACATCTCTTGAAGCAGTGGCTATTCGTGTAGTCCTCCTGAACAAACTCGTGACCATCTGCTCTGTCTACATACCTCCACACTATCATCTTGAAAAACGTGAATTCCAGTCCCTAATAGATCAACTTCCAGAACCTTAAATCCTCCTTGGAGATTTCAATACACATAGCAATCTATGGGGTGACTCTCGCTGCGATGCTCGAGGCCGCCTGATTGAACAGCTCCTTTTTTCTTCCGGTGCGTGCCTGCTGAATCGGAAAGAGCCAACATATTACAACATCACTAACAATACGTACTCAGCAACAGACCTCAGCATAATATCCTCATCACTCCTGCCTCTACACAAATGGGAAGTCATTAATGATCCATATGGTAGTGACCATTTTCCTATCGTTATCAGCACATCAATAACAAATACATGTCCTGCACAAGTTCCCAAATGGCTCACAGACAAAGATTATTGGGAAAAGTTTCAAAAAATGACTTTATTATTTTGGACTGACATGGCGGCATTGAGCATAGAGGATGCTGTATGGTACTTTACAGCTTTCTTGGTTGATGCAGCAACAAAATGTATTCCCCAAACATGTGGACCGTCAAGCAAACGACGAGTACCATGGTGGAATAATGAGTGCCGTGATGCTCGAAAAAAACAAAATAAAGCATGGAGGTTGCTTAGAGACTCGCCCACAGCCGACAATCTTGTAAACTTTAAGAACGTCAAGTCGCAAGCAAGGAGGACATGCCAACAGGCGAGAAGAGAAAGTTGGCACAAATTTGTATCGGGCATTAACTCATACACAGATGAGTCGAGAGTCTGGAGCATGGTTGGTAAGGTGGCAGGATGAGGAGCACATTCTCTTCCTCTAGTGAACACACAAGGGGAGAGTTTGGAAGACCAGGCAAACACTCTCGGAGCGCACTTTGAACAGGTCTCCAGCTCAACACACTATAGTGAAGCGTTCCGACGATACAAAACCGCAATAGAAAAACAGAGATTAGAGCGCAAGCCCAGAACACATGAGGCCTACAACGAACCTTTCTGTTTGGCTGAACTGCAGGCCTCACTTGCCTGCTGCAATAAATCTGCCCCAGGCCCGGACCGTGTGGCATATGAAATGTTAAAACACCTGCCCACTGAAACCCAGAAAGCTCTTCTCTCTCTGTATAATGCGATATGGTCTTCTGGCGAGCTACCCTCAGCCTGGAAGGAAGCTATCATTATCCCAATCCTAAAACAAGGCAAGGACCCGGCCTCAGTTTCCAGCTACAGGCCAATAGCATTAACCAGCTGTAGTTGCAAAGTCTTTGAAAAAATGATTAACAGGCGCCTGGTGCACTTCCTTGAAATTGGTGGCCTACTTGACCCATACCAGTGTGGGTTTCGAGAGGCTCGGTCCTCCACTGACCACCTTGTCCGTATCGAAGCACAAATTCGCGACGCTTTTGTTCATAAGCAATTTTTTCTTTCTGTGTTCCTCGATATGGAAAAGGCATATGACACTGCATGGCGCTTTGGCATATTGCGAGACCTGTCACATTTAGGTGTGCGGGGTAGAATGCTGACAGTTATCGAAAGCTACCTGTCCAACCGTACATTCCGTGTCCAAGTTGGCACTGTCTTATCTCGAGTATTTGTCCAAGAAACAGGAGTGCCACAAGGAGGTGTATTGAGCTGCAACTTTTCAAAGTTAAAATGAATTCCTTGCACCTGTCTCTCCCACGAAATACTTTTTACTGCATATATGTCGATGATGTGCAGATTGGTTACAAATCGTGCAACATTTCAATGTGCCAACGTCAAGTTCAACTAGGGTTGAACAAGGTATCTCAATGGGCAAACGAGAATGGCTTTGTACTCAACGCGCAAAAGAGCACTTGTGTCTTGTTCAGCCGAAAGAGGGGCCTCCATCCTGACCCCGACATTGACCTGCATGGTCAACCTCTGTCAGTGAAGACCGAGCACAAGTTTCTTGGTCTCATATTAGACACTAAGCTAACCTTCATCCCACACATCAAGTATTTAAGGAACAGGTGCTTAAAAACAATGAACATTTTGAAAGTGTTGTCACACACTACAAGGGGTAGTGACAGGAAATGTTAAATTAACTTATATAAAAGCCTCGTACGCACACGCCTAGATTACGGTGCTATAATCTATCAGTCGGCAACACCATCAGCCTTGAAAATTCTCGACCCTGTCCACCATCTAGGCATTCGCCTCTCTACGGGTGCTTTCCGCACCAGCCCTGTGGAGAGCCTGTACGTGGATTCGAATGAACGGTCGCTCCACCTACAAAGATGTTCCCTGTCTTTTTTGTACTTTTTGAAGGTGAAGGCAGGCAAGAAACATCCTTCCCATTTCACAATTAAACAATTAATGATTTGTCTTGTTCTGGCTTGTTCGAGAACCGTCCTTCGTTTAGGCAGCCCTGCGAGCTGCGTGTAAAGAGCCTGGCCGAAGAAACAGGTGTGCCTCTTCTTGAACCCATTTTGATGGCTCCTGCAACATATCTGCCACCGTGGTAGTGGCAGCTTATAGACTGTGATGTTTCTATTGTTGATGTCACAAAGCACGCACCACTTGCACACATACAGACATATTTTTTAGAACTACAACATAAATGCACATGCCCTGAGTTCTTTACTGATGCGTCAAAGTCAAACACTTCTGTGTCATATGCAGCGGTAGGCCAATCCTTTTCCGAGGCCGGCATTCTTTATCCTAATGCAAGCATTTTCACAGGAGAAGCTTATGCAATACTGGCGGTCGTAAAACACATTAAACAGATAAAATTACAAAAGGCGGTAATATACACAGATTCCCTAAGCGTGGTCAAAGCCCTGAAAACTCCTAAAAACACAAGAACCCCGTGCTGGTGTCACTCTACTCACTTCTGTGCACACTCTACACATCAAAACAGCATGTCGTTGTCTGCTGGGTTCCAGGGCACCGTGAAATACAAGGGAACGTTTTGGACGACAATCTGGCTGCTTGCGCCAACGTCACTACTGCGAATGCATCAACACCAGTCCCTGCACTTGACTTAAAACCTTTTATAAAACGAAAGCTCAGGGGGTATTGGCAGAGCATGTGGGATAAACACACAGATAATGAACTCCATGCTATTAAGCCGCAACTAGGTTATTGGCCGCCACTATCAAAATCACGACACACAGAAGTAATACTAACAAGGCTTAGAACAGGACATACACATTCTACACATTCATTTCTCCTGTTTACCGGTGATTCACCATATTGTGAGAGATGTGGAGAGCCCCTTACGGTTCTCCACATTCTCGTCCAGTGCAATGAGCTGGATGCTCTAAGGAAAAAGCACTTTTTATGGCCCTACCGACAGCAGCTCCCTCTACACCCTGGGATGCTCATCGGTAGGGATCCGCTTTTTAAACTGCAAACACTTTTTACGTTTTTAAAAGATGTGCAAAGCTTTCACCCGATATTTCTAGGTCATCCGTAGCACGACCCCTATAGAGTGGTCGTGGCTGCGGTGACTACATCTTCATCATGGTTTTATTAACTTGACATTTTGCCATCCGCTATCACTACACATATGTCACGCCACTCTCATGATTTTATTACTTTCATGTTTTAACCCGCGTTAGAGCGAGGAATTTTAAGGCCCCTTTACAGCCACGCACAATATCATTGTTCATATCTGTAGTCAATTGAAATGGCGCTCTTTGGCCATCAATTGCTCTTCTCCACTAAAAACTACTCATCATCGAACTCTCCATGTGAGGAACTCACGCTGTGTTAGTCATTGAGTGTTTATGAGTAACGCTTGAGCGCTTATTCTCGCGATTTTTGCCCCGCCGCGGTGGTCTAGTGGCTAAGGTACTCGGCTGCTGACCCGCAGGTCGCGGGTTCAAATACCGGCTGCGGCGGCTGCATTTCCGATGGAGGCGGAAATGTTGTAGGCCCGTGTACTCAGATTTGGGTGCACGTTAAAGAACCCCAGGTGGTCGAAATTTTCGGAGCCCTCCACTGTGGCGTCTCTCATAATCATATGGTGGTTTTGGGACGTTAAACCCCACAAATCTAATCCAATCTATTTTCGCCATTTGATTGTACTTATGTTAGCTTGATTTTGTCTTTATTACGCAAATACTTTATTAAAAAACCATGCAAAAAGCACTGAGGTGGCTCAGTGGTAGATTACGGGGCTGGCACGCAGTGGGCCCGGGTTGGAGCCCCTCTGTGTCTTTGGTACTATTTTTTGTTTCTTATTTCGTGCTAAAGTAGTTATGGACTCCGGCGACGGTGACAGAGAATCACGGTGCCACATGTGACCCGAGTTATCTTATAACAGCTTTCTATAAAAAGATTGATTTATGGTTGTGGATGATAATGATTATGATAGTGATTATGGTGTATGATGTTTTAGTGAAAGAAGATGACGGTTGTGGAATTCCTTCTCAGTGCGTTCCTCGTTTGCCGCAGACCCTTCGGTGCCGTGTCCCACGTGGATGGTGTGCAGCTCGGGCTCGTGCTGCCGCAATGAGTACGGGGCCTACCGGTGCAGTCCGTACGCGGGAGGAGTGTGCTGCACCTCGGGCATCTCGGGATGTCCACCGAACATGGAGTGCGTCGGCTAACCGAACGCGTCTGCTTGCCTGAACCCGTGAACTGCCCCAGCATGGGCAATCATTTAAGCAATATGTTATGTAATAAATACCTTTCCGGCACTTATTCTGCAACAGTGCCAAATGTTCGAATGCCTCACCCACACATCTAAATAAAACACCGTCTCACGTACAACCCCGACATACAAAAAAACGGGTGTTATAGTTGAATTTCGTTTCCGCTTTTGTATTACTCAGCGGAATAAGTGCGAGAAGCTGCATGTGTGACGTAGCTGCTTCCATCCGAAATAGTGCTTGCCCCTTTGTCGCTCAAAAACAAAGATGAGTGAATGCCTCTCTTATTGCAATGTTTTGAGCTAGATGCTGCTATAAACCACAATTATTCTAGCATAATATTTTCGACGAAACTCCCCATAGCTTTCATGTATCCAAATTCGGACACGCCATTGGTCAAAATAGCGGGAGTTTGCAGATTGTCGCGCTACCTTGTAATCAAAAAACTAACTAATAATATTTTTTTCTGTTGTGTCGTTGCTCCCAGATTGCACAACAGTCTGCTTAGGCCCGCAGGATTGGCCACCAGCGTGTCCGGCTTTTCGAATGCAGTTTCGCAAATGGTATGATTAAATAACTCTGACTATAAACCACTCTTCTGGAATGAGCTTTCTTGATAGCAACTATGTATCGCATGACGTGTCACATAAATGGGACATCTTGAAATTGATCCCCATGAGGTGAAAACACTCGACTACAATTATTCAGTAGTAATCAAGCTCACTGCCATAAAAATGAGCTTTTCGTGCATCAACGACGAAAAAATGCTGCTTGCCCAGTTCTATTTGATTGGTAGAGAAATAATTGACTGGCGTTACTAATGAGCATTGAGCGAGTGGTTCAAAGTTTCGTTTTCGCCTGGTTAGGCTGTAAGTAGTGCCATATTGCGGGTCCCCGCAGAACCAAGCAAGCAGAATCACGGTCGGGCTTGACCAACGTTACTAGATAGCTTCAGTTGTAAAACTCTCCCCATGCGCCGTGCGCCGCCGGCGTCTCCGTTTCTCGGCGTGCCGCGAGAGGGCGCGACCACCGCATTTTGCTCTACCCGGCCGCTGCTCATTGCGTGCAACGGCGCTTCTGCCAACGCCGCTTCGGCCTTCTCATGACGTTAGCGCACGATAACATCAAAGATTACCCGCTACCCGTCAAGTTGTCCGCGTCCAGACTACATCTAGGCCAGAGTACTTTCCAGTAGCTGCTCAGGATCGCTTAATGTGGGGCAGAAAAGCCGTCCGTTACGGCTCATTGCATTGCTTTCTACAACAGGTCAGCCGAAGCGCATCGTAGTTTGCGCGCGCTTGCGTCGGCTGCTCGCCGGCAGTCAACCACGAGCGTGAACGGTCTGCCGCAAGCTGGTAGCATGGAATAAGCCTCCGTTAAAACTTATTTTGATTGTCTCTTCCGAATTTTATAAAAAATCACGAAACCGCTCATTTTGTTTTCAGCCAAAGAAGCAAGGTCACCATTGGAGCTACGTCATTTAGTGGCTCTAGTAATTATGGCCACTCGAAGACGAAACTTCCCAATTGTCTCGACGTCCTTTTTGGAATAGTACCTTTTCCATGTCTTGCCCTGACAACAGTTAGCTTTACCAAACGCCACCAAGAAGCGACATTTCTGCAAAAGGCGAAATAGCTTTAATTGAAAGAATTATTGAGTCAATTAACTGACGAAGTTAAACCAGCTTACATGTCGATAAGCATAATGTTCTTTTCAGCAATTTATTGGTTTTCACAGTGCACACTTTACGGCAGACACGAAGTAGAAAAATATATGCAACGTTTTTTTTTTTTAATTTACAATCAACTCCACACCTTTTTTGCTTGAGGTGAATATTGCTACAATATACCAAAGCATGTTAAGAGAAACAAAGTAAGTAATAAATAGATACATGCAAGCATTTTTATTTACAAATCAACTCCACATCTTTTTTGCTTACGGTGAATATGGCTACAAAATACGAAATCATGTTGACAGGAAAAATGTAATGAATAGATACATGTATGCAAGGTTTTTTTTTTTTCATTTACAACAAACTCTACAACTTTGCCAGCGTGCTTACAGCAGCTTAGCGCGTTTGCGCGCCGACTTGACCTGCACATTCAAGGCACGCTCTCGCTGAAGGAATCTGGAATAGAAATGCATGCGCGTCACCAAAAAAAAAAAGCTCCTTATCCGGTGAAAGCTCCTTATCCACACGCGGGATGGCCTTATTCCAAAGCGAGCGAAGCGTCGCATCTTTGGGAGCCGAGAAGAAGTGCCTGTCCGTGTTGTTCTTGTTGCTGCTGTAGCCACTGGTACACCCGGAAACGAAGCAGGTCGGCATTGTCGGCCTCAGCCTCACATGCAGAGGCCCACAGCAATGAAATACAGTCGCTGGAAAATCACTAAATGTGCCACTCGAACGGCATCGCTCATTCAGCACTTCTGAAAACGACCGCGCGAACAACAAACGCCGGAGACCGGGGCACCGAATGCGCCGGCTACTGCGGCGCATAAGCGAAACCGCCTGCGAGCGCCCCGGCAACCGAGCCGGTTGCGACTGCAGCGCCGCAGAGAGAAAGATCGGTGGCGGTTCCGGGCAGCGCCGGCCAGTTTTACAACTGAAAATAATCTAGTAACGTTGGGCTTGACTGCACCTGCACGTGCTTCTTTCGAGCGCGCATGTGCAGTCTAGCCCGGCCGGGGCAGAAACCCCAGCTGGAGTCAACCAAGGGGTGCAACGCTGTCGAAGCTATAGGCAAGAAGTTCGGCCAGCAAAACGTATAACTCCGCGCGTTTCGTGATCGCTCGCGTGGCGTAAGATTAGTGCCAATTCACCCTCGTATTTCATTGTACTGTCCTTGGGTGTGACTCGCGAACAGAAAAAATAACAGCATATCCACGGAGTGCGTGATGACGAGCTGGGCGAAGCATCCCTCAGTCCATCCACGCTTCGGTCCATTCGTTCATTATTGCTTCCGTCCGTTCGTGTGTGCATCCAAGCGTCCGTCCATCTGTACGTCCATGCGTCCGTCCATGCGTCCGTAGGTCCGTTGGTACGTTTTACTGAAGACAGCACATATTGGAGCTCCTTTGGTGTGAAGCTGTCATCCAGATCTGATCAACTGATCGCAGAGAACTTTGTTACAACCACCGAAGCTAATTCTGCTGAGGATTTATATTCGCTAGTTTGGGCGGTCTCTCCATTTCTCAGTATAATATCGCAAAATTCTTCGGCAATCACACGTTCGCTAACTCCTCGAGACAGCGCTAGAGCCTGTAGTGGTCTCGAGTGTACTACTGGCTGTCGGAGGGTGCGTACCATGTTCCACAGTTGAGGCGCCGAAGTAAATGGAGAAAGTGAGGCACATAAATCTTGCCACCTTTTGGTTGAAAGCTTCTGCAGTTGGTTATGCATTGCAGAATGTACTTTCTGTGCAACCTTGAAATCTTCTAAATTACCCGACCTGCGATATCTTCTTTCAGATCGGTGTCGTATTGCCCGAAACCTCTCATACTCAGCGTCCACCCCCGAATACCCATCTCAAATGGGTACTGCACGAGTTGCTTTTGTTAGATTTTTTATCTTCGATGCAAACGTTTCTGCGTCAGAACAAGGTTCAAGATTTTTTCTCTGTAGTTCTCGTAAGATTGCCCAATTTGTAATTCTTGTTGTGCGGTTATTTCTCGTTTTCTTCAACTTTGGGTGATATATGAATACTGGCAAGTGGTCACTTCCTCTTGTATCAGCGTCTGCAGTCCAGTCTGCTCCAGCCGCTAGTTCAGAGGAGCACACAGTGATGTCTAGTACGCTGCAGTATTTATGCCCCCGTAGAAACGTCGGAGAACCATCATTTAGTATAGTGTAACCATGGTCTTCGCATATTTTTACTATAGCAGATCCCCTTACACTACAACGCTCACTACGCCACAATTATTGATGCGCGTTAAAATCACCACATATAACTATGGGATCATGGTCAGGTCAACACACTGCAGCCAACTCTGCGTATAAAATGTTTGCTTGAGGGTGCACGTAAACACTAACTACAGTTACAGTAACGTTAACTAACTTAACCTTGCATCTAACAAATTCCGGCGCATCTGTTTTTGAAGAAGCCACAAGTGTCGACGGAATATCGCGTCTCACGCACAACATCACTCTGCTTTTTGCAGCAGGACGTTCTGCTTGGTTCGCCACATAATTGGACAAGCAAAAGTTAGTGGATACTCTTGTTTCGGAAATACACAAAATCGGAAACCCGTGCTGAGCGACGAATTTCCGAAAATCTCCACTCTTAATCTGCGAACCCTTGCAGTTCCACTGGAATATTGCACTTCTTTTGTACCAGTTAGATAGTCCGGTAGCCATGATTACGACAAGAGAAGATGCTAAACATCTAGCAGCAATTTCACTTCTGGTAAAGAACCTGCTTGTGGCAGGGATCGTAGAGTCGCTTTAAGAGCCGCAAAGATTATTGGCAAAATGACTTGCTCGTTTCCGGCTGTCTCCGCCGAGATCGCATTTCTTGAAGAATTTTTCCTCAGCAAGCTGCTGTGACCCTTCTCTTTGGTAGTCAGTGGCTCCTTGGCTGCGTCTGGCCCGGCAGAATGTTACACTTCAGCATGCGTTGGCCTGTCAAATAAAATTGAACGTAGCTCTGATTGAGGATTAAAAAAAGCTCAAGTTTGATCAAATATAACAGCAGTTTTAGCGCAACAAGCACGAATCATCTTTACGCCGCTAGAGGTGCTAGCGCTGCGGTCAAATAACGGATGGCACACGTTTTTTCGAATGCTATTCATGTTCATGCACTTGTGCATGTATTTTCAGCGCCACGTCATTACGTTCCAGTCAATAAAAAAATTACAGCACAGACACTTTCCATGCAAAGGCTTCGCATAACATTGACTGCGAAGATACGTGCGATCTACTAATTGTTTTTTTTTCTGCGATTCGGGAAGGGATGTTTCGCATATTTGTACATTTTGATAGACCATTTTTTTGTTATTCGAAGGTATTTCTTTTTGATGGAAAGCAAGTAGCCAGTTAAAACACACCCGTCCTCTCGTGCTTATGGTACCTTTGTCTTGGAAAAAAAAAGCGTCATGGGTGAAAGCCAATACAATTTTACAGACGCAGCTGTGTATAGAAAACTGTCATGTGAAAGCTC